AGTTTCTGGGAAAGAGTTATCGAGCGTGATCAACAATTTGAACAAGGCCAGCACGCTCGAGCCCTTCATACTCACACAGCTATCAACGTCTCCCAAGGGTTCCGTCTACCCAATTTCACTCAGAAGGCTTGGGTTAACCCGTGGTGGTGGTTTTCAGGCAATTTCCACGTTGGAATCGATCCCTCAATTTCGATAACATCAAAAAAATCTCCTTGTTGACAAATCGACCATGGTGAGATTCGAACCCTGGTCTCATGCTCAGAATGCAAACTTTCTAACCACTCGGCCATAAATAAATACACGAATGAAAAAGTGTTTATACCCGCAGCAATTAAAAAGACATAATAATAATAATGACAAGAAGACTAACATCAACTTGCTTCCTTCTCACCCTTTCTTTGATGATTGTTGTGGCCTAATCTGGAGTCTACCAAGTTTAATAACATTTGCCTATAAAATGGTTGGTGTTAGTCGCTGAATATCCTCACTTTGACGGCGTTCTACGTAAAACACAGCTTTTTAAAGGAAAAAAAAATAAATAATAATAATAACCTACTTATATATTTTTTTTAAACGGTTATTTCAAAATACATTTAAGGTAAGTTTTTAGTATTGCCTAATTACTAACCTCCTGATATAAGTGTTTCTACTCTCGATCAAATTATCCGGCAGTGAAATGTGATGTATTTGAAAACTTACCGTTCCTGAACTTTCCTTACTAATCCACATTAGCCTATAACTATCCCAAAATGTAAGTAGCGAAAATCTGAATTTAATGGTGATGTGCTCTCGAAAGGTTTTTTTTTTTTTTTTGGTACGTTCGGCAAATTTATCACTTGCAGGTCAAGATAACTTAAACTCTCACGGGCAATTGTGATCGCTCGATCACCATAGGATATTAGACGATTTTTGTAACTTTAAATCGCAATGAAAACCTAATCTAAAGTTTAAAAAGTCCAAGGTGACTAAGAGTTGTAGTTCTGTACGTCTAGATTACTTCTAGTTAAAACCAATTTACCAACATGGTATCTGTGGCATAGCAGGATTTGCTAACAACACATAGGTTGGAGGTTAGCACTCCCAACAGTTCACACTTTCCCCTCGAACATGTATCTCATTTTTAATAAGAATTAATGTATACGGCATTTAATACCAGTATACTAAAACTTAATTGTCTAATAGTAACTTTTTTTTTCTCGTTAGTATTGAAATCTCCATTACTTGTCACTTTCTTTCTTTGATTATTATAGTCGATAGTGCTGTGTGATACGGCGCAATCTTTTTACTGCACTTTCTCTTGAAACCTTCTGCCCAAGAGTGCCATTCTTTCTTCCTACACTATTACATGTAGTTACTGGAAAGTTCTATCCCAAAAACTTGTCTCTGAAATGGCAGACATTTCTTTTCACCTGCATCTCGCCAACGAGTAACTTTTTTCCTCACTTTCTTTCATTTTTACTGACCTTTTTATGTAGCTTTTTTTTTTTCTTTTTTTTTTTTTTTTTTTTTTGAACAAAATTCTAAGGTTAGTCTTCTTGGTGAGATTAAATTTAGAAATAAATTTCAATTGATTTTATGGAAGTAACTATCTATTCAAAAATATCTAAAAGTTCTTCGCTATATTCTTAGAAGAATTTTACATAACCGGCATTTTGTAAAATTTTAACTTATCAATTGCGGAAGTTTTTTTTTTTTTTTTTTTATAATAGCCGACCGAAATCCACATTTTCGAATAGAGCTTATAATTTAAGATCTGAAACCTATTTTCAATACATTTTCCCCTCCCACGTAGTCCTGTTTAAAGATAAGAATACATGTCTCTTTGGAATTTCACTTCCTATATAGTGGCGGACCCACATTTGGTGGTGGGGGCTGAAGCTTGGAGCGGTACCCCCCCGCCTTCACAATCAGTAACATTAAATTCGAGGGTCCAGCTGCCAAAATGTAGACTATGAATGGATTCTGGCGAACTCCCAAGACCATACTACTGGTGGTTCGGGCGCTGCAAGCCCAAGAATATTCTGAAATTTGACCAATTATAGGTGAATTTTAAAGCTATGTGAAATGGATATTCGAGCATATTCCATGGAAACATTAGCTACAACTTCATGCGATTCTATCACTAAAATGTTTAAACATTTAAAAATCAAAAATGAAAAATTCAGTCATTAAAAGTTACTAGGGATAAAAAGCTTCATTAGTTTCAGAGTTGATCGGCATTCTAATATTTGTTCTAGTCTAGTATCAGTGACTCGTCTTCTGGACAAAACTACTTAGGAAATTCTTTTTTTTTTTTTTCCCCTTTTACTTTAAAAATGCAATACTTGTAAAATACTAAACTATTAGTTTAGTCAAATGTTCTCGGCAATTTATTTGCGAGAAAGCTTCGGTTGGTCTTAAAACTTTCTAATGACTTATATTGCTAATATACTTAATAGCAGTTTTTAGTTGTATCGTCGACAACTTTATACTTTCCTCATTTTCTACGTTAAACGTACCGAATATAGATTGTTGCATTATAATTCGGCATGCCTCTCTCTTTCACTACAAAGTCGAACGCCCATCTCATGAATTATGCTTCTTTGTCCACTGCTTCGAACGTCGAGCAATACTTAAGAATTGTACCTGTTAATCTTGACTCTATAGTTATCCGGAGACCTGTTTCAAACTGCGCAGGGTTTTTGCTTGGCTGCACACGTGGAATTTACCGGCTTACAAAAAGTGTTTTCTGGAGTCTTTGGTGAGAATCTTTTAAACTCTATCTTCGACATGATGCGTAGCAGTCAAAGCAATGCTTTTATTTTTTTTTATATTACATATATAAACTCTTATTTGGCTTCCGGTCAAATCCTATTAAACCATTGTATCTCGTTTGATCACGGAAGTTAAGTAGTGGTGGGGGGACCTTTCTAAGTAATATCTAGGAGAGATGGACTCCTATCCTTTTCCAAGGGTATTAGTACGTGACTGAATATAATGAACTCTGCAGTGTTGAGAGCGGCTCTGATTGATTAGGTAGACTTCGAATTTTTTAAAATTTCGAAGTACAAACACTAGGAATAGTTGCAAAACTGTTCTTTTCGGAATCTGACTAGCTGCCTCGGAAAAAAAAAAATTAAAACCTCGCTTAAAATAAACTGAATAAAAGGAACTTTTAATGAACGCATCCATGGAGTCGGATATTGTTATATGGACCTTAGACGCAGATGTTCAATATTTAATCACTTCCTGTGCATCTAAGTGATATTTGTGTAAATTTCTGGGACGATTTATTTACATGTGGATTATTGTTTCTGATTGACAAGCACTTAAGGCCGAAGAGCACAAAGGTTTCCTCTTTGACAAAGAGGACGATAGTGTTCTTTACCTCAATGTTTCGGCCTTAAAGTGCATGTACGACATACAACCGAACGCTTACCTTTTAACATGTATTAAATCTTTCTTAAAATTAAATTATCATAAGAGTAGTTCCCGTTCATTGCAATGAACAAATTAAAACGCTTTCTTAATGATCTTATTGGCTTCTCAGGAATATGAATTTTTAGTGAAGTACATAAGTTTATTTACTAGCACTAAACCGTAAATCCATAACTTTTTTTTTTTTTTTTTTGTTCGGATATAAGTTTAACTGGATGATCGACATCTCAGAATTCAGTTTCTGGAACTTTTCAGGTTCCATGCTTTCCGATTCAATGTAGTCTTCAGAAGCTTAAATTCAATGTCAATAGTTATGTCTTGATTGCTCTTCTATTGTTCTCGCTCAGTAATTTTTTTTCACTGATAGCCCCCCCCGCTGTCTTGGTGGCTTTACTGCCTGGTATGGGGTTGATTACTTAAAAAAAAACAAAAAAAAAAAAAACTTTAAGTTTGATGGCCACAATTGAATTGACGTGAAATTCCGACTGTTATAGGTCTAAACATATTCTCTATATATATATTCCTATATATATATATATATATATATATATATATATATATAATATATATATAATGAAAGAACTGTTGAGAGTGATCTTAAGTTTAGTAGGTTTTTGTTTTGTTTTTTAAAAAAAAAACCTTGCTCGATACAGAAATAGACCCTAGATTATAATTCTTTTTAAAAATGATTCCATCGCGAAACAAATTAGTTTCGAAACTGGTAATCCGTATTCAAGTTTAATTTCGATATTAAATCTTAACTGTTGGATAACTAAGCAATGAAATGTTTTGTTTTGAAATGGAGGTCCAATCTGGGGGTTAGTTTTTCATTATCAAGAGGTCTTTGCTTTGATAAAAGTAGGGAAAATTGGCCATCGTAGCCAAACAAAAAAACAACCCAACTTTACACGACTCCAAAAACTTGACATATAACAAACCCCCCTGCTTTCATCAAAGCAAAGACCCCTTGATAATGAAAAACTACCCCCCTCCCCCGATTACACTTCTATTTCAAAACTGAGTAAAACATTTCGTTGCTTAGTTATTTCAAACATCGCTTGAGGATGAAACTGTCATCCAACAGATAAAGTTTAATATTGAAATTAAACTTGAATATGGGTGACCAGTTTAGAAACAGTAATTTCTGTGTTGCGATGGCATCGTGATTTTAAAAATAATTATATTTGTGTGTGTGATATTCTGTATCACATCCCATCAAATATGGTGCTTGGGTCTCTAAATATTTTAATCAAACTACACAAATTTTATTTTTCACTGATCTGTTTCAAATGTATCACCCAAACGAATTACTACGTTTCAATTATTTTGTATGTAACTTCTTTTTATGTCTGCAGTTAATGAATTTTTCTTTTTCAGTCTTGGTAATTTTGAGGTGTTCGACGAGGGACAAACATCTTTTTGATCGATTTTCGTAACGCGTAAATCTTGACATTTTTTTTTTACACGAAATGGCAGAAGCTCCATGCAAACCAAAATGGCGATTATCTCCCGAAGTATCAATCGGCAAGAACAGGCAGTTCATAAATTCTCTCATCTATTCCACCCCATCAGAGCAAAAACTAATGCTAAGTGAAATGCTATTTCCGTCCATCTATAGTATGTACCCTGGATTGTCTAAACGGGTGGCCAATGTCATGTTCCACATATGTCATCAGTCGGAGCTTTTTCACATGCTCAATTGTCATCAGTTTTTCAAAATGCGATTGGATGAAGTCCTAACCCTTATAAAACTTTCTGAAAATCACTTGGGTCTTTCGGGAGACATTCCTCGTTCCATCCTCGTAGAGCGTCAGCCATTGAATAAGCTGCTCAAAATTCAATTACTATCTGTCGTGCGTAACATCTGCTCAGAAAATGCAGAGGCAGTGACTGCAAAGCTGTCAAGCCTGGAAAATTCGGTAGTCCTACACTTGCTTCACTGTCTGGATTGTCTCAACGTACGTGTCATTGAGACGCAAACCACATTGCTGGATCAATTTAAACAACCGTTGTGTGCCAAAGACAGCCTAGAGTCAATTGACCAAACAATAGAGATGCCTGCAGAACGCCACTTACTCGGGGACGACCTCTTCTCGACAATTCAAGGAGAAAACTCAAAGTCCGTAACTGTCGCGACGGAACAAAGACAATCTGTTTTGATCGAAGGCCAAGGAGGACGAATTTTCAGTGAACTTCGAAATGTCCCCTTGACGCTCAAAGTTCAAAACAAAATCCTTCTCAAGCAACTGGCACCGCTTATAAAAAGCCTGTATCCGAACTTTTCGCTGGAACTGCTCTCTGCCATAAGAGGAGTAGACAATTGTGAACTGGTTCACATGATATGGTGTCGTAATTTCTTGCTCTCAAAACTGGAAGAAATTCTCTGTCATCTCCGCATCTCCCATGAGCCTTTGTTTCAACAGACGTCACTCGTCTCTCCTAAATTATGTTGAACCAAACTTTTCAATTTTGACCAGATATATAAAGACGCCTCTACTCAAATCGTTACAAATTTTAATTACACTATTATTTCTTTAAATTGCGATTTTAATGTTTCGGAGAATTTAAATATGCTACTAAATATTTCTTCAAAATGCAAAGAAATGGTAAATAAACATTTTTTTCTTGTCTTGTAGGCCACTCAAACAAGTGTGTACATGTATATTTCCAAGAGTTTAAAAATTCTATTTAGCTTAGATAATGTTTTCTTTTTCATTTTTATTGACCTTTTTATGTAGCCATTGTTTTGTTTTTGTTTTTCCGAACAAAATTCTAAAGTTAGTCTTGGTGAGATATTCTTAAATTTAGAAATAAATTTCAATTGATTTTATGAAAGTAGCTAAATATCTATTAAAAAATATATCTATATATATCTAAAAATCCTTCGTTATATTCTTAGAAGAAAAATTTTACATAACCAGCATTTTGTAAAATTTTAACTATTTTATCAATTGCAGAAATATTTTTGTTGATCCATTAAAATATTGCCCAAATTCCTGATTCTTCATTTGCTTTTAGTATTAAATAAAACCTATCTGCATTTTTAAAGCAAGCCAAAAGAATATCTTTTGATTCTTGAATGATATGGAATCAGAATAAATAAGTTAATAAATATAAACTGGAACTCTTGTACTTTGTTGCTATGTTGGTTCTTAAGAATTTGACTTTTAAGTTTTAAAGTTTATAAAATTAAAATCTCTTAAACATGAATTAGATAAACGGTTCCCCTGATTGTGCAAAACTAATCCAGTCAATAAAAAATAAATCTGCTCATCTCTAAACTGACTGGGCTCAAATTTATCATAAATGTTCACTTGTTTATAATGACATTTTGATCTAGGATAAGTATAGTATTTTTTTTTTTTTTTTTTAAACTGTTAAAGTTTTAGAAAGTTTCCAAAAGATTAAGCCTTAAAGTGTGCAATTACTTGAGTAAATCTTATAAAACAGTGTCTGCTTTTCATGGATATGTGCCATTTACTTTTCACACTTTTTGCTGGCAACTGTTTGCCCCTGAATGCTCACCTTAAAAACTTGACTGATCCTGAAATATGTGATACTTCTAAAATCTATGCTTTCAGAAAAAACCTTGAGCCCGTGAAGGATCCCTGCAGCTATGCTTCACACAAAATTTACAAACACAATGTACAAATTAGTCTGTCATGACTAGAGCCATTCTAAAAGTACAAAACCTCAAATACTGATCTTTCTCCTTGTATATGACCTTCTGAGAAACGAGATTATAGAGGTCTTTCTGCTAACACATGTGGATGAATAAGTCTGTAGCTTCTCAGTTATTTTTATCTGAGACATCAGTCTTTATATTATCCTAACTTGTCCACAGATCAAGAAGCTAAATGTATTTTCAAAGAAATACTGGAAAGCTGTTAAATCTTTTAATTTACTATTTTAATTTTTAACATTGAGTATTATCTTCATCTTGACACATTTCGGCTGTTGTGCTCTCCGGCCTTCATCTGGTGTATGTTTATCTGAGTAACCTATAGAGAACTCCAAATTGGACCCTTTAAATTATGGAGGTAGAATGTTAGCTTTCCACTGCCCATGTCTAGAATAAGAACTAGATGAGATATATTTAGAGATGGTCAGTGGAATGAGAAGTCTATTCTCATAGATTAAATAAAATGTTCAATTCAGAATTCTTTGTAGTTTATCTGGATTGACATACACCTGATAAAGGCCATTAGGTACAATGGCAGAAATGTTATATCAAATACAAGGACGTGTGATGCATCCTGGTAATCTAATCCTGACATCTTGTCGGTTCAATCTTAACTGTTTGATATTCAGCTCTTGTATCTGTATTTAATGTTTCTTGTTAAATGGCATGTCTTTTTGAAAAACATTTAAGCTATCAAATTTCTTTGCTGTATATTGTAAAGATATAAATATTTTGGAATACATAAAATTTCAAATTTTGAAACTATATACACAATTTTTATAGACAAAAACTATATACTATTTGGCTATTTAATTTAATTAAACTTAACTTTGTCAACTGCTGGCAAAATGTTTACAAATTGCATTTCAAACACTAATACTTGAATGTCTATTTTCTTAAATTCTAAATTTTAAAATTGTTTGTGACAAATTATGCCAGTTTTTTTCTCTAATTAAATTTTTGTAAATCTTTAAAAATATCTGTATCATTGAATATTGTTGTGAAATTTAATAAAGTTTATTTTTCCAGTTTTCAGTTTGTTTGTAATTTGTCCATAACTGCAATTTCAGCTTTGAGTATCCAAACAAAGTGTTTGACTTTGGTAATAATCTGAAGGCATCCTTATCTGTACCTAACTGTTTATTAGTAACAGTGTCCTTAATTTTGTACTCCACTTAAGGTTGAATTGGCCATCTTTCCAAGCTTCCTTATTCAAGGCCTTCATTGAGGTAGTCTAACATTTTCCATAGTGACCTAATTTTTTTCCTAATGACAAAACAATGATTATTGTTGATGACTATGGGCATATTCTTAAATCTTTCAAAACCTGAAACCAAGCTGAACATTTTACTTTATTAATTTTTTTTTTTTTTTTTAGAACATTCTATAAATTATTATTGTACTTGCTACTAGAAGAAAAAAAATTACCAATTTTTTTTTTTTTTTTTTTTTACTTTAACCTTCTGGTAAGACCATGATTGGTGTCTCTAAAACCCAACAATGCTTTATTTCTCTTTGATATTTAACCAGCACCAAAGTCAAATTTCATGATTAGTCAAGTAATGAGTTTGATTTTTAGTTGTAATATTTGAGAATTACAATTGCATGGCCATAAAGACTCTAATAATTGGTAGAAATTGGATGCAAAGCTAATGGCACTGCTTGGAATGTAAAAAGAAACTGGAGAATGGGGGTTCAAACCTTCATTGAACTAATGTTAGTATAACATACCATGTCTACCATCTACTAGTTGCTAAAATTTATGCTTGCTTGTAAATGATCTTAAAGACTTTTGCTAAAAGTTTAAATCTTCCACTTGCTAAATTGGTCATGTGACCAGAAAAGAAACTGCTATTGAACTCGAATAGATTTGTATTTACCCAGTTATTTCCTCTACATCACCTACAATGTATACATTTCAATTTAAGTGTTTAGATTATAGGTTAGCTTGGACTGCCAATTGCCTTATCTAAATAGTTGGCCTGCATTCCAACCCCACCTACACCATGTTTCAGATTAGATGAGATTTATTGGGGTTTGTCAATTCATTTGCTCTTTTTATAGTCTCCCAAAATCAACAGTAAATTTTTTTTTTTTTTTTTTTTTTTTTAAAGGGGACTTTAATGAGCTCAATGAAAAAGAACTTGTTTTTGAGGGTAGCCTTTTTAGGTGTCATGTGTTCAACAAAAATGACACTGGTCGAAAGAAAGACTGACAAAAGAATTAAAATATATATTTTTTTTATTCTACTGGGAACTCTAGTATAAGAATGGATATGGTTGAATGAAGAGTGAATGTCATCTACCATGAATGTACCCTAGAAATGCAGGAATTCACCTCTTCTGTAGTGCAGTACAAAGGAAGGAGTCTCTTGAAATTTGCTTTATATTATATATAGTTTGTTTTTTGTTTTTTTTTTTTTGTTTTTTTTTGTGGAAAATATTCTATAGAAATTATGCCAAACTTATTACTGTAACTATTTTACTGCATAGACAACTTGAATACATTCCTCTTCTTCCATTAAAGCTTTTTTTAATAGGCTAGCAGGGTTTCTGTCAGATGTTTAGTTAATAACTCTAGCAATAATATGCAAAAAGGTACAAGTGACTCTGCTTAGCCAACTTTTTTGTTAATGTTCATCAGGGCCATATAAATATTATCAAACTGGCCTTAATGAAGATTGACACAAGACTTTTGAGCTAGATAAGTCACTTTAAATAGACTTAAAATCATAAATCTATATTTAAATTTATTTTAATCACTTTTAATTTTAAGATCAGAATTAAATCTAATTTTTTAATCTACTTTTTCAGCTTAAAACACTTAATGGCTCTCCACAACTTCTTAGCCTCTGTAGCTCTTAAAGTTTTCACTATCTTCCTAATACCTCTTCTGACATCATTTACACAACTTGATACATCCAGTGAATCTCAAATTTCTCAAGCCCTCTTTCCTCATTGTGCGTTTTTAGTAATGCCAAACTTCTCCTGATTCTAAGTGTGTCCTCTTTGTTTCCGTTATCCTGATGCTTCAGATTCCTTTTCTTTTATGATTTTCATTGCATTCTTTTGGAAATATAATGGAGTTGTTTAGAATCATTTTCCTTAGATTGGTCACGACACAAGGCTACAGAGCCACCAGTTGACACTGCTGTTTAATCTATACAAAGAGATGGAATTTCCAAAAGTAAATGTGACACACTATCCCAGAACTTTAACTCTACAGGTCACTTCCCCTATCCATGCTGATATCCATTTGAGCCTTGTCCTAATTATATATGTTGTCATACTATATTGTTCAGGCAGACAAATTTATGGTTTGCTTCTCCCACCACTGAAACTAGGCAGACAATTATTGGTTAAGTGGATCTAATTAACAGACAGACCAGAAATCCATTTACAGATGGATGGAATGGAGTGGAGCATGAAGTTAACTTCTGATTTGAGTCCTGGAGTCAAAATTTGCAAATAATTGGTATATAATGTTCCATAGTAGCTATAAAAATAGTTACAAAAAATATAAACCTACTTCTTGGGGAGAGAGTATGATTTCATGCCTTCATTTTATCACCAGAATTCTTTGTGTGCCAGTCTACCCAGCAGGTGCTGCCTCTCTTGATACACAAGAATTTCTGGCATGTTGTGCAGCAGACTGAAGACTTTACAGCCTTGACGGGAATCTCTTGTATACCATAGTTGGTGTTTGTGTGTTTGTTTTTTTTTTTTTTTTTTTTTTTCTGCTTGAATGTATTGTATTTATAAGAGCATATGG